TATTTAGATCCTGCTGGAATGTTTATCCGACTCCACACAGTAACACACTGTTAAATAACATGCAAGACAAAGCTTTTCAAGACAAATGTAGAGAAATTACAGAAAGGCTGTACGTTCAGGACACCAGTTTTGCTGGCTTTGTTGTTCTTTCACTGTCAGATGTGTGTTTTTTCTTTTCTACCAGGTGGCAGAAATAGGCAGTAGGGTACGGCTGGGGCAAAGCAGGCAGCTGAGAGAAGGAATTTGGGCTGATGTGGTTATGTGTTGCGTTTCCTTTACTGAGATATCTGCAGTCGCCCCCATACGATGGCCTTATCTACTCTGTAAGATGTTACCATTTCTGAACATTGCCTATAGATAAAATAAATGACAGTGGTGAATGGACTTTAATAATCAGTGTTTGCCAAGTCAGTACAACTGCATCAGGATAGATGATTTGACATCATTGTTATTATAATGATTTATTTATTTAGATTATGAAAGCATCCACAGTTTGCTTGGAGCTTCCCAGGCACACCAGTTGCTTCCAGTGGGAGGGGAAAAAAAAAGTTTATAATGAATGCATAATGTGAAGAAGTGTTAGAGAAGAAAATTTTAAATTACAATGGCATATCCAGATTGCCAGTTTTCACTGGGAGAGGTGAATGAGACAGTCCTATAAAATTCTGGGTTGTCATAAACTTTAATATTTTAAAAGATTTCTGAACAGCCTCTTTCCAAAAATGCTAGCAATCATATATTATGTGTAAGGAAAGGCGTGATCAGATATAACTATCAAAATAATTTGAAAGTGAAACCCTTGTTGTGGTAAATTTGAATTTCTAACCACAAGTACAAAATACTCCTGATAAAGCTGGTTAGGCATAACTTTTTGAAATAAATTATGGGAAAGCAATATTTTATCTTTGGTGATATTTAGGCACTGATTTAGGCACAGTTATGTTGTACTTGTCGTAAGATTGTCAACTCAGCATGAAGATGTCGTAAAAACCCACAGTCTAAACTACCAGCACAGCAAATGCCTTGCTTTTCTTTCACTTTTTCTTGTCATGTCAATACAGAACTTCATTCTTCACTAATCTAGTACATACCTAAAGGGTTTCCTATCTTACCATGTCCAGGAAGGATCAAATTAATCTCTGACTTCACTCCTCACTGGGTGGAGTAACTCCATAGATAAATTTGACATTTTGTCTTGATATTTGGAATAGCCCACAGTTCTACATCTGAGAACAAGATCCCATGTCCATATGTGGTATCCAAAAATGTATATTTGTTAGATAAGCCCATATGTCAGTGAGTGGTTCACAGCTGTGCCAAGTTTTCTTTGAGTAAACATGAAAATACCCAATCTCTCAGTAGCATACAGGATTTCATTTATAAGTCTGTTATTCTTCCGGAACTGGAGTAGCTGAGGAAAAGTCAGTCACATTCTTCCCATTCTACACGTTTCCTATGAAATACAGGATTAAAATCATTAACCTGGGGCGCAAATTTTAGAAGTCTCTATGCCACATGGAAGAGTAGAGGTAAGGAAGGGGTAGTAATTAAGCCCTCACAAAAGGTTTAATCAAATGAGGAAGCCCACTTTTGCATAGAGGAAAATAACTGATATTAAGTGGTTTGAGTGGGTTATGAGAGACCCAAGGCTCAGGCAAAGACTTCAATCTGTCAATCAGCCAAAGAACTAAATTGAGTCATGCCTCGAAAGTGACTGTTTTTTTTCCTCCTTTAAGTATAAAATGTGTCACACTTATAAGTAGTTTGTGTAATTGGGTGCCAATTAAACAATTATCTCATTATCTCTTAAGAACTAAATAAGATGCTTTGAAATACAAGAAAAATAAATATAATTATTACAGCTCTGAATTAAAGACTCTGCTTTTTTATTAGGTAAGTAAGTGCTCACAAAACACTTATTCCCTGAGTTCCTAAGGAAGTTCGACTTTTCAAGATAAGGCAGAAAAAGGGTAAAACAGTTCCAGAAGAAAAATGTGCAAATAACAAAAGTGGAAAAAGTGATGTCTGGATTTAGTCACCTGCTTTGCAAGATAGCAGGAAATTTCTTCCCTTAGTTTATCCACACAATTTCTGTTTATGAGAATCATGACAATGCTGAGGGAAGTGCTGTGGTTTGTCTCCATGGCAAAAACAAACTGGAATAGCTTTCTCACAGTGAGCGATCGTACATATAGCTATTCTTGTGAACTTGACTCACATGAAGGATTTAGGCATCTAAACCAGCTATAGGCTTCAGAGTGCAAATGGCACTTCTCCGATACCCCACTTGGTTGCTTTCAAACCTAGAGGCAATCAAAATCTGCTTAGCTGGGAGATGGAGTTGAAAGTTCTGCTCCTCACAAGAGTAACTGGTTTTTTTTTTCTGGATTTTAACCAATAGTTTTGCAACATGTTATTGTATTGAAGAATTTTAGATCAGGGTCTGAAAACTAGGTGTCCCCTTTTCTCAGTGTAGAAGGCTTTTACACCTCACTCAGAGCTGGGTCTTCTGCTGTGAGGCTACAGAGCCCCTAGGGCTGCTTGGTAGAGCTAAATCTTTGATACAGAACAAAAATTACTTTCATTCCAGAATCTAGTTTTGAAGAAAATAAATTCTTCTGGAATAAAACTGACTTCATTTTGCAATATTATATACACATTGTTAACTATTTTAGAATAGCTATTGCAGAACAACATACTTCTCTAGAACTAATCTTGTAAATTTAGCTTTGTACACAAGATGTAAGATCACTCTCTGGCTCAGCTCTAACTGTATGAAAAAGAAATTTTAAAGTAACTGTAATTTTTTTGTCAAATATACTGAAGGCATCCTTGCTAAATTTTCATGGATGCCAAATTCCTACTGAATCAGGGTCATCTTTCATTTTTTCCATTTTCCATGTCCAAATTTTAAATATGTATTTCTTTCTACCTTTTTGATAAGGGTAAGTATCAGTAACAGTAACCACTGTTTCTGATGCCTTCCTTTTTCTGTAAAGGGACATCTTAATCAACATGGAGTGGTGTGTGGGAGGGTATTCTGTGTTATTAAGTAGAAATGACTTAATTTTGTACAGTAATAAATCAGTTTTTAAAATCACAGAGTATTAATTTAATGTGGACCTGAAATACAACTCATTTCAAAAAGAAATTTCTGTGAAAATAATGTGTCACATTTTCAGTTCATCTAGATTGTAGTCTGTATGCTAGCAGATACGCGCTTTGTTTAATTTCTAACTTCCTTGTTTATTGTGGGCATGTCTATCTACAGGTCCAAATTGTAAATAAATGTGTGTTTCTTAAATGTTTCATTTCTTAAATGTTTTCAAAAGCCCTTATCATAAAAACCCAGACAACAAACAAAATTGTAATTTAACTCACTAATGACAAGGCCAAAACACCCACTTGTTTCAGTGGGGTAAAGGAATATACTTAACAGGTTTAATGTCTGTTAATATGCAGATGAATTCTGACCTTGCTCTCTGAGTTTTTCCTTGAAATTGTGGCACATATGGTGTCCCATGTTTCTTAGTCATCTATTTACCACAGATTAACCAGAAGATAATTCTACACTGTAATTAAACCATACATTCTCATTTAATTCATGTGGAGTGGTTACTACTAGGCTGCATAAGATCAATCACATTTGGCAGTCTTCTACCAAATCTGGAAATAGAAGCTTCTTATGGATATAATTTCAGTTGTGTTTTGCATGTGGTGGTTTTGGGTTTTTTTTTCTGTTTGAGTTTTTAAGTGTGTTTATCTCTTTATTTTCGTATTTTAAAGAAAGTTTGAAAGCATGTTTTCAGCATGATGTTCCTTTTGACTTTCTAGCATGTCACAGGATCTGTTGTAATTTAGCTGTATTTTGTCTTTAATTTTTTGTGTTTTCATAGCATATGTTGATTGATGTGGAGGTGTGTCAGCAAAGAAGTGTATTTTCTTATTTGTAGCCACAGAAATAAGTGTGTTTAGCTGTATTTTGGGTGGGTTTTTTGAGTCAAGTTCTACACCTGCTGTTCATATGCAACTCACGTTAAGCTCAGTAGGAGCCTCATGCTTTTGAATGAGATATGATGAGATTTTAAAATGTTCATAGCATATTCTGTTATGATGCTTTTTATGATTCATAGACTGATTACATAACAAAAGTCCTCCAGCAGTTCTTTTAAAAAGTAGCTACTTTTATCATTTCAGTAGAGCACATTTTATATACTTAAAAGATGAAAATATACCAAATGCAATTACTTTACTTCATAAGTTAACTGCAAAATATTATTTGAAGAAAGTTAACAAGTGTCCAAGTGTAAGTGCCTGAAATGAGTTGTGGAGAAAGGGATTATATGCAGTCAAAATTTGCCAATTTCTGAAGTTGTAAGTAGTTCTTTTTTTTCCTTAGAAAAGAAAGTTTCATGTCAAGTTTCATTTTGCTCGAAGTGTTTAATATGAAATCTCCCCTTAGGAATGTCAAATGGCGTACAGAGGAGCATATAAACAAAAATAGCTTAAAAAAGAATGGATGTTCAGCATCTTTAAAAAAAAATTCCTTCACAGTAAGCTAATTATTGAGATTTGTGTTCATGGTGCTGGTGATTTAGTCAGGTTCATCATGTAATGAGCAAGTCTCATTCTCTTTGGTTTTATGTTCTTTATGTTTACAGTAGGGTAACTGGACCTTTAGACATCTTCTTAGTTGAGTTTCCAGACGCTGTTTTGTGCATGTCTGAACTGCCTGTATGTACAAGATTGATTGATTATGATGGTCTACTGCTGTTACTAATTTGTTTCCCATTTCCGATTGGCTTTTACTTTTTACAGCTTTGAGCAGTAATTCAGTCCCCTACGCCTCCCTGATTGGCTCTGTGTCCTCCCTCTCTAGCCAAACTACCACTCAGTCCTTATATGATAATAACTCTCTCCCACGATTCGCTCGAAAAGGTCTAAACATCTTTGTCTCTATTATTTTCTCTGTTCAAGCACTGTTTTAGATGTACATCAGTCCACCTCCATTTCTGGATCAATCTAGAGTTCTCTTGTGCCTTTTCACTCACATATTTTCCATAGGGGTGCTTGATCTGGATCAATCAGTGTAATTGTTAGATGACTGTCACCCACACTCATTTTGAGAATAGCCAAGTTCTATTAAGTGAAATTTCTAAGAAAATGGGAGACAACCAGAACTAATTCAAATAAATTAGTACTTACGGACTAATTTGTTAATTGAAATTTATAAGAAATCTCCCCATTATATCTGACTATTCTGCTTTGTTAGTTGACTGACAGCTTGTCTTAATATCTACTTTAAATAATGTCTCACCATCACAGACGTGCTATGAAGGTAATATATAAATATATATGTATAGCGTCAGAAGAATTGGGGCCAGTGCTGCTGGACACTATTTTAGACTCTAGTATGACGCCTGAAATGTCAAAGAATCAAAAAGAAAACAAGAATTTAAAAAAAAAAGAAGAACATGCTATAGTGTGACTGTGTTGTAAGCACATGGTCTTTTTCAGCTGTGTTTACAGGAAATGCAAGTTAACTGTCTTTAGGCATGCTCTTGAAATTCATGGTGACAAAGCAAACTGCATTGTGCAACATGGCTTCCAGCTTGAGCCCCCTTGAGTCATCACTGTTTTCCCTTTGTAATTTCAAGAGATCTTGGGGTTCACTAGCTTAATTTTTCTAGCCAGCTCTGATTTCTTTCCACAAGCAATTGAAAACTCACTTTCATTTTAGGTGTGATAGTATAAAGCATGAGGAGAAGAATGTAAACATTTTGGAGAAGGGTCGTGAAGACTAATAGCATGAAACAAACATGTTCACAAATTTTTGCCTGGCAAATCTTCAGCTGGCAGATTGTTCTAGTTGACCCCACATCTTTTCTGTCTTTCTTTTGCCTCGCTGTCCCTATACTCCCTTCCACACCCATCTCTATCTCTGATTCCCAGCTCCTCTTCTTCTTCTTTTTCACTCAGTATCTTCATCAGTGGACAAAGATGTTTACACCTGAAGTAGATTGTAGGTACTTTTGGGGGTTGATAAATGGGGTTTCAGATTAAAGTTATTTTAAGGTACTAGTGCAGTCAGTATGTGTGTCCAGCCAAACTGTACAACCCCTGCCTCTACAATCTGCTACTAGTGAAAACATTTTTGAAGTTCTGATTGTCTGATGTCCAATGTTGTCTTCAGTGACTGTTGTCTAAAAGCAATCGTGCATGTTATTCTAGTCATTCATAGTTGCATGTGAATGTCAGTCACCTCAAAATTTCATACAATATTTAAGTATTTCTAATTTAGTCAGAATATGTAGTCAGTCTTCTAGAGCTTGATGCATTATTATTATTAATCCTCAAGCTATCCATTTCATTTTTTATAATTTATTTTATAAGTTAGTTTTATGTTGTTTTGAGGTTTCTTTGTTTTTCACCATTTCCTTTGCAGGTTCAGGTGTCTCCGGTTACTTCAGTAACCTTCATTCTTCAAGTTCGTTTTTCTTGATTATGCATAAGTCACTTTGTTTTCTGTCAAAACACTATTCTTTCCCCTTTAGGGCTCTTTCAGTGTCTGTTTCTCGGCTCACCTTTCCTCATCTAATTCAATGGAGTTTCCATTTCATGCAGTGCAGGAGGAGTTTGAAATGACATTAAGAGTCATTACTCAAAGCAGAGGTCGACATCAGGTCTAACTGTCTCATTTTTCCATGCCTAGCTAACCTCATTGACTCATATCACAGTAACTCTTTCCTCTACACTAGGATTGTTAGCTTTGGGAATATGCTTGGTGACTTCTTTTAATTTGGCTTCAGAGCTCATCTATCCAGAGCATGTCCTGCTTTGAGTAACCAAACTATTTGCCTGCTTCTCTCACATATGACATCTTTACTACTTACACATTTCTAGCCATTCTAACTATTGCATTTTCTAAATTTTAGAGCGATGCCATCACTGTAGTTTACTTTAAATTCTGTTGTTCTTTCTTGTTCAACAGGTATGGCCAGTCATCCCCCAATACCTATCTTGGAACTTGCAGATCACATTGAAAGATTGAAAGCAAATGACAATTTGAAGTTCTCACAGGAGTATGAGGTAATTTTCCCCACTTTCTCATTATTCAAATAGTTTAAATTGTCATGCTTTCTGTTTCCCTAGACTTTTCCCTGATATGTACCCAGGCTCATGGTGCCAGTTTTGTATGATATTAAAACCATGATAAAAAAAGTTCTCTGTGTAAAATGACTATGTTGATGAGGTGGCTCCTTTGCTTGTAACAATCTGTTCTCTTTTTATAAGGATACGTGTCAGGCAGATTCCATGGGCACATACTTGAAGTAGTGTGTGAATGATACAGCAATTACTCTCTTTAATATACACAAACATCCATCTACTCTGCAGATCCTTAGACTATTAAAGAAATCTCCTGTGTAATGTTGACAGGACATATACAATACAAGCTCCAAAGAAGTTACAGTCCACTATGTTCATTTTGGATGGATTAAAAGAATTTGCAGTTTCCTGGTGTCTTTCCTAATATAACAATTTCAAGACAATGTATTTTGCTCAGGTCAGTAATACCACATTGCTAATCTGTGAATGATGGTCTGTAAGAGCATGAAGGAATTTAACTGGAAGAGAGTAATCATTTACAAGCCACCTTGTTGGTAATCCATGGAGTATACCTCCCCAGACAGGCATTGGTACTGTAGAGACTAACAACCTGTCATGTCCATAACTTGTGGCTAAAGGGACTTAGGTAGCCATCCATTAAACACAGTAAATTATAGCTGTTTCTTCAATGCCAATATAGTCTATGTCAAAAATCTGTGGATAAAATATGCACTGAACCATCAGAAAAAGAATGCGTCTTTAGAGCAGCTATGGGCGGTCGTGTCAGTGATCCAAGGATTAACATCTCCCAGAGGGATCACTGAAACGGTATTTTCTTTGTAGTCTGTTGTGTCACTAATTCTTGCTTAAAACACCCCAAGACTTTGTTAGCATGGTGGAATAAAAACCCGTATTACTCTCATTTTTTTAGGGACTGCACATTTATTGCATTTGAAGGTTCATACGAACACTGACAGTGCAATAAAAAACACCGAAGACTTTCACATGTTGGTTCCATAGTAACATGTGACTGCATGGTACTGAGATCCTGTAAATGCCCCATGTATTTTGAAAGTCTTGACAGAAAATGTTAAAAATGAATACTAACTACTGTGATAGAGAACTACAATTGCTTATTATTTAGTTGAACGCGCTGTTCAGAAAGACCTTAAGACTGCTCTAAAAAATAATCTCATTAAATGTCAAAAGGAAAATATAGTCTCAACAATTCATGGAAATAAATTTGTTTGAAGAGCATCTCAGGATTGCTCTTTACTGTTGCAATCACAAAAAATGTGGGAGTATCTTCTCACATTTCTGTGTGTAAATCCTATGTTCTTAAGTACAAAGGTTGTAGCATATAAAGAATCAGACAGGGAAATTTATCTAACAGAATGTTCACCATTAAAAAAAATAACATTTGGTACAAATTTGACAATCATTTCCTGTTGTACTATGGGCAAATTCCTTGGAATATCTGCATAGGAAATTCCATTGAATAAATAAAAAATGTCATTACAAGTCATATAATGTAATATAACTTCCATAAAAATAAACAATACACCTTTACTATGTCTTGAGCATGTTGTGGAAATAACATGGTTCTTCTTATGCTGTAATGTAACTTAAAAGTTTTGGTGGTTTCTATTTCCTTTATTATTTAAATCACTAAAATCATTTTGAGAACATAATCTTAAGCATTTGTAGCCAGCATTGTGAAGATACATTAATTCATTAAATTCTTAGTATCTGTCCCTCCAGAACTTTTTACCAGTCTGTGTAAACAGCCCAGCTTTCACACTCTTTTTTTTTTTTTTAACAAAACTTACCATCTGGGGCAGAGTGGTCAGATGTTCAAGATAAAAATGTGGGCAACTGTAGGTCAACATCAAGCTTCATTCACATTGCTTTGCTCAAGATGGTTCAACATTTGTCTTTGAAATCAGCTTCAGAGATACCACTTTGTTTCCTAGATGGTTCCTCTAGTTCAAGGTTCATCCATTTCGAAGTAGAATTAGTGAAAAGCACTGCTTTTCACTTGTCTAGTGTAGGCAGTGGACTAAGTCTGCAGTTTGATGATCACTGTAAGTCATCCCCCTGTCTTGGCTGTGCATTCCTGTTGTCTCTCTTGTGCCAATCCTGGCACTAGAACATGTGCAGCTGTTCAAGGATTGTCTCAGGAAATAGATTCAGCTGAAAACTGATTGTTTTATTTTTCTTTGCTGTTCTCAGTTGGATCAATTCCCTGAACTAGCTCACCACATGGCTGCATGAGCTCTAGTGCCAGCACAAGGGAGCTGGTGGGAACATTTGTAGTCAGGGATTGGGACCTTCTCTTTCAGCAGCAGTCCTCACTAATGTCCCTTAAAAGCAACTATCCGATTCCAAGGCAGAAATGGATACAGATGGTAACAGTTCAGTTATTATCACTTCAGATTACGTTTGAACTGGTGACACAGAAGGAAAAAGAGATATTTTTCATCCTCAAGAGTTAAAGGTGTAACATGCAGCAAGAAACCACTGATCTTGGTAATAAAGTCCTCCGGCTAATTCCCATTTGGGGAAACAAACATTTTTCATCAGTTACCACTGATTTTTTTTTTTTTTTCCATAATGCCCCTTCCTCCTTGGCATTCCATTATTTTATTTTACTTTTTATGGAATTTCTTACATTGCATGGATGAAATTCTTCAAAAATAGACTGATGGTATGCAACAACTGTTATGACAACTTTGTGATACCATAAAATAAAATATATAGTATCCTGATGAACACCAACTTCTCATCCAGCTTGTAGAATTTCTTTCAGGAGGTTAGCTCTATTTCAAAAGGATGTTTTAATTTTTTTCTAGCACACCCTACTTTAGTTGCCACTTCAAAAGAATTACTTGTTCCACAACTGAAACAGATCTTTTCATATTCTGGGCACCCTTTTCAGCTCTTCAGAAGTATTTGAACACCTGCTCCTGTTCCATCCTTGTTCCTGTTCCATCCACTGCCTTTTGATCAGAATTTCTGATCAAAATTGCATACAAGTTTGTTTTTATCTTTTTAGAAGAGTATTGCTTCCTTGCCTGTTCCCACTTCCTCTTCAGACAGACAGAAACCTCCCTGACTCTTCACTACTTCCAAAAGGGAAAAAAAAGTTCTCTCACAGAAGGTGCACATTTACATGCTGTCTCCTCTGCTGATTTATATCCTCTGGCATAATTTTCTATTGAAACCCCCTAACTTCCTTGTACCCTCCTAGGGAAGGTGAAGGAAAACTTCTCTGTAGACCTGGACCATGAGAGAAGACAGGATTGCTTTCTTCAAATAATCCCAAACTCAGCCCACAATTCTCCATTCATCTGGCACAAAGCTTCCCAAACGGGTTTTTTTTTGGTGTTGGTTTTTTTTTTCTGAGAATGTGTTCCTTTTTGTGCTGTGTGAAATCTAGTTGAGAAAGAATCTGAAATTGCTATTGAAGAAATAAATAAGTTCAAACGGCATCCCTCTTCACTCTGGTTCTGAAAGGAACGCCCAGGGTAATGTGGCAAATTGAGAAAGTAGGTATTGCAAAAAAGTAAGTAGCAATATGCATAGTATAAACTATATATTCTCAGGAAAAAAAAAAAAAGGAAAAAAAGTAGAACTTCATTGCTATGATGTGGTAAAAGGAGTGTATTCTCCAGTATGGACCATCTTCCAGCTGTGTAATGTTTTCTAAGCTTCGACATCATTGATCGGAGGAGTTCCTACTTCTACAAGTCTTCAGAAACTATTTCATATGTCTTCTTCAGGGCTTCTCCTACACCAGCTCTTACAGGCGATGATCATGAGTACAGTGGAGACTTCTATCATTATAATTCTCTCACAACTTTACCTTGAATACCAGATTTCATGGGAGAACAGGGGCCAAGCCTTAAAGATTGTGACTATTGCAAGATTTAAATAAACTCATAATTCACCTCTTGGATAAACTGGTTTTGTAGTTTTAGCATAGATAGCGCTATGTCCTCTTCTCAATGAAGTTCATTTCTACTTTAAAATAAATTTTTCACAATGCTTCATTAATTATTATTATTATTATTAGCTTGCAATCCCCAAGACTTAGCAAAATGTTGGTTTAACTTGTTAACATGATATATCCTTTATGTCACATAGTTCTTCTGTATTCCCTAATTTAAAGACAAGGTTTTGACCCGAACTGATTGTTATGAAGCTTTTGCTGACTTTGGCAGTTTCAGTGGGATTTTTATGTAATGCAAGGCTCCATATGGACTTGACGGCTGCTAAGCAGAAAGCCATATTCATAAGAAACTGACCTTTATATCGTATCTCCTTCTTAACTCAGGCTTCAGAATTTAACAATAAAAAGTGGTCATGGCAATAGACTGACTCAGAACAGTAATGTTCTGCCTACTTTATGCAATACAATAGATGTATTTGTAAAGTTATTTCCTCCTATAACATAGAACAGAAAATCTGTTCCTCCAAAGCAGATTCCTGGGTCTTGTGTAAAATAGTTTCAAATTTACTACCTGAGATCTGTAGTCATAGCTTTACGCCCTTAAGGAAGTAGATTCAGATTCATACCGGTTTTGTGTGAGAACCTGGCACGGCAACACAAAAATTACACTACCGGCCTCTATGTGTTATTATAAGATTTACTGTGTATATGTGTGTGTGTACTGGTTAACTAATGTTACGAGAAGTTGTATATAATTTTAATGTTTTTCCTCATCAGACTTCTTTCTGTAAATTACAGCCAGTCTTTTGCTTTAACACGAAGTATTAGAAAAGGTGAAGATGCATTTTGACTCTATGCCACACTGCTGTACTATTACAAGTTTTATTTCAGCTTTTCAGTATCAGCCGGTAGGATTTGTGATGAGAAGACAATTTACTGAATATAGTACATTTATCTTTTTGTATCTGACGCTGCAACAAGATAAACACTGGACACTAAAACACAATAAATTTTATATGGTAGAAGCATA